TGGAGGCACTCACCGCCCCCATGGCCTTGTCCACTTCCTCGGGGGGGACAAGTGGAAACTGGCTCCATAAAATCCGCTCAAGACCTTCCCCCGGTACCTCAGCTGGTACCGTGCAATTGGAGTCCAGATCTTCACACTTCTATCATCAGGCAGAAGCCAGCTGAACAAATAGATTTAAAAATAGTTTCTATCCTTGGGCTATCAGACTCTTAAACACAACCACAATCACTCCACGCACATGCAGAAACGTATGACTAGTTTTTCTTTCTTTTCTTTCTTTTTCCTAATTACTTGCATAGGGAGTATTCTTTATACTATTCATGTTGTTTGTATTTGTTGTCATGGATTACATCAGTGAGGCTAAAACCAATTTTGTTGTATACATGATGTACAATGACAATAAAGGCTATACTACTACATTGCAATAGTCTTTATTCTCTAGTCACAGTATGTACTAAAGAAGCATACAGCCTATTTCAGATTACACCCCACTTTTTCTTATCACCTATTTACATGAAAGCGTCATGAACAACATAAATAGAACATGTAATGACATAACATAAGACCTCAGAAGAAATTTCATTTCAGTGACTAACAGAGAAGTTAAGTTATAGAAACTTTGGTCTTCTAAATACTACATTGGCTGGTTCCTGCATAATAAAACAATAGCTTTGAAAAGGGCAAGAGGCAAGTTATTAAGAATCGCTTTCACCCACTTACTTCAGACTACTATAAGCCCGGGCCACTTTCCCTGAGATGCGATCAGAACCAAACACGACCACTCGCAGTGTTGAAATCTTTGTATCTTCATCGGAGCTCAACAAGGGCCTGCGTTGGACAAAAGTGTTCTGTGCTATATGGCTTTGTAAAAGTGCGGCACTCAGCATATGCTGTGGCAGTGACTGTGCCCGTCGGGATCGTGCAGGGATGCGGTCCTTGGCTACAGGATTGCAGAGACTCTCTGCTCGGCGTAATGGCAACGACAATGAGGCTACCTCAGAAACATCTCTCAGATCTCTGCCCAAGAACATCTGGCTCTTGCTCTTGAACAACTTGTACAGCCTGTTGCTCAGCCGATGCCTGTGTGACACTTTTTCTTCCTTCAGATCTAAGCGTCCTGTCAAATCTAAAGAGTTGTCATCACTGTCTTCCACATAGCCACTATCCATAGAATCTTTCAGACTGGAGACAAAAGATTTCAAGGACTTCCTAGAGACGAAGGAGAGCTCAGAGTTTTTGGAAAGAGCAGAGATGACAGACACTTGTGAGTCACAATGGTCATCTTCTGACAATGTTGAGAACATAGAGTCTTTCCTGACTGAGGCAAGGGTGGACAACAGGCAGTCTTTTTTTGCAAAGCCATTGTCAACCTCCTCCTCCTCCTCCTCCTCCTCCTCCTCTTCATCCTCCAAAAGAACTTGTTTTGGGTAATCCACTTCTTTGTCTAGTACCTCATTCAAGATATCTGTAACAAGGAGGCAGATACAAAATAAGATGTAACAAAACCCCTATCAGTTTAAAGCAGTTTTTATTTGTGGTACACCCTAGAACCGTGATGGTGAACCTATGGCACGTGTGCCTGAAGCAGCACACAGAGCCATGTCACCTGGCAGGCGCGGTTGCACCCGCTCCTCTTCTGGGTTTCTGACATGCATGCGCACGTGATGATCAGTTGGCCTTCCTGAGTGCGGCAGTGCTGGAAACTGGAAGAGCTGGTCTTCCATTTTCCAGCGTGAGCATGTGCGCTGGACAGCTGATCATCATGCATGCATACCACTACCTAGAAGACTTTCTGGCCAGCGCATGTGCACACACTGGAAACTGGAACTTCATTTTCTGGTGCAAGCATGCCCACTGGGCAAGTCCACTTCCAGGTTGCAGCTCCGATGAGCGAATGTGCCCTTTGCGCGCACTCCCTTTTGGCACTCAGTGCCAAAATGATTCACCATCACTGCCCTAGAAGATGTCATTTGTCTATGACTTCTATCACAGAGCTATTGATATTAGTAGTTTAATTAATCAGATATATCAGGCTCTATTTTTATATATGGTTTCACTATTTCTAAAAATCAAGACCAGTCTTAGATTTAAAGACGTTGGGTGCCAAATCTACTTTATTTCAATCAGGCTTACCAAACCATCCTTCCTCCCCTCTGAAAGCATTATTAAGCATGTAAACTGGCCTACAGATTTTAAGCTTACCAAAATTATCCTTATCCCATCTGTACACATGACAGCGAGCAACAGGGATGGGGATCACACGGAGTTTAGACAGCTGGCCTTCATCTGAAGAGAGAAATGTACACGTTAACAGGTAGACAAACTCTATTAGGATGGAGACAGTATCTGAATATACTTGTCTTAGCTTTCCTACCTGCTATTTCAGGTAGCCCTGCTGTTCTTGCAATCTCTAGCAAGACAGATTCCAGCTGTTCTCTAGCAGTTGAAGGATCATTGTTAGTCAGAACTGCCAACTCCTGGGCTTCTGCGGTTCTGGTGAACATTTTCATGAGTTCTTCTGCAGTTTTCAGCTGCACAGAAAGAAAATAATATAAGATTCAATTGCAACTACTTCCAAAACAAAAGCTACTGCAAACTGAACAAATGTACCACAGAGAAATGAGATTCACTGTGTCAATAGCAGTAGCAGCAGCACCAGCATCAACAAAAACAATTTATTCTAGGGTGTCCAGTTCCCAAAACAACTCGGGCTGACTTCATACAGCTAAAAAGAAACAATCTAATTTTTTTAAACCCACAAAATTAAGCCAAAGGAAGAATAAAACAAAAACCACATCTCATACTACCTCAAATTAGAGGGGCCTTCTAAGACACCTTAACTCGGGGCTTGGAAGAAGAGCTATCAGGCCTGGAAGCTATCATTTGCATTACAGGACACGATCTTCTGATGAGGGGGGCAGCCTGTCAGGCCTGAAGGCACAATGCAAATGATGGCTTCCAGGCCTCACAAGAGCTACATTTATTTGTGTGATGGCTGGTAGGATGGCAGGCTGAATAGGTTGGGAAGCAGATAGGAGGAAGATTATTGTTGCTTTCTGAATTCTGCTAGATGACACTGCTTAATTACAAGTCAACCCTGTCTGATTGTACAGGATGGACAGACACTATGGGAGATAGGCAGTACTCAGAGACCGAGGCCTTATGCCAGTGACCTTTATAGGCAATAATTAGCACTATGAACTGCAGTAGGAAGCTTATTGGTGTACAAGTGCAGCTCATGAAGCAGAAGTTTATATGGACATAGTAAGACTTGTCAATCACTGATTAAGCTGCTGCACAATGAATCGGATGTAACTTCTGGGTAGTTTTCAGGGAATGACCTCATGTAGAGGTCATTGCAATAGCCCATCTGAAAAAACCCCAAGGCATGAGTAATTGTGAGAGTGATTCCTCTGAATCCGGGAATAGGAGCAAGTGGTGTACAAATTAGATTTTTTAAAGACCTTCCTGGGCATAACTTCCTCAAGCAAAAGCTAAGAGTTCCAGTAGATGCTGTGATTGTACACTACTGTTGAATGAGGGAGTGTGTTGCCACATTTAAGACCCAAGGGTTGAAAGTTCCCAGCATTAGATCATAACATCCACAACCAGATTTTCCCAGTAATACGTTTGAGCCTGTTCCTCCCATCCAGTTACTGACAGGTTCCAGGCATAAAGACAATACCTTGACAACATCACTTGGCCACCGGAGGTCAAGGTAGGCAACCAGGTAGTATCCACATATTTATGATATATGCCCCTGAAGCAATGAATGACCTCTCCAGTTGCTTCATCAGTTCATGTATATATTAAACAGGAGAGGAGAGAGTATTGAGTCCCACTCTACCTCACGAAGAATCAGTATTGAATGTGACCTTTTTCCGCCACCAACGCTGACTGTGGAGCACTGGTGGGATTCAATTTTTTTTTACTACCAGTTCTGTGGGGGTGGCTTGGTGGGTGTAGCATGGCTTGATAAGCATGGCTTTGTGGGCATAGCAGGAGAAGAATGCTGTAAAATTTCCATTCCCTCCCCACTCCAGGGGAAGGTTATTGCAAAATTCCCATTTCCTTCCGATTAGCTGAGACTCAGAAGGCAGGAAATAGATGGGGGTGGGGCCAGTCAGAGGTGATATTTACTGGTTCTCTGAACTACTCAAACTTTCTGCTACCAGTTCTCCAGAACTGGTCAGAACCTGCTGAATACCAACTCTTCCAGTATGGAGAAAGGAGGCAATTGCGGTATTGGATTTCCTATTCCTATTTCCTTGAAGCCAGTCCAGAAAGATATTGTGACTGGTGGTATTGAAGGTCATTAAGAAATCAAGGAGGGACAGGACCGATACCATCACCCACATCCTAGCTCCACTATAGGTCACTGACAAGTTATCAAAGCTCTCTCCACACTAAGTCCAAGCATAAAACCTAACTGAAAATAATTTTATTTATTGATATATTTGGAATACATGTATTTATATTTCTACTATTAATAGCAATATGAATAAGTAAAACAAGGCCTAGGCCAGAGGACTTTCTTTACCTTCAGGATTTGACGTAATTTTTCCAGGTTGCATCTGGTACCAAAGTTAGCTTGATATGTGTGCTCCAGGAGTGTCGCTAGTAAGGTATGCTGGGAGTAGTCCGCAGAGCTTAGCTTTTCAGCAACTGATAGGAATTCCCCATCAACTTCTGAAGGATTCAGCAATAGGACTGTTCTAGGGAAAGAAGACAGGGAAACAAGCAAACCATTAATAGAAGAGAATATGTAGCTCAGGGTTGCAGTGTGGAGTCCTTAGTGATGTTACCAATGAAATGTTTGCAAGCGAACCCCTGAAGTCAGAAACACAAGGATCCAAAGTTGTTAATAACATATCAAAGGAACAAAGCTCCTTTCCCTAAGGATAGACTTTCCTAAGCTGATGTCCTCCAGAAATGTGTGCTAAAGGTAACGGTCCAATTATCCTGAGGATATCAGGTTAGGAAAGCTGCTCTAAAAATGTACAGAAAGCCATTATGAGTGTTTAATACTTACACGGTAGAATTCTCACAGCCTTTTAGAGGTAACCCTTGCTCATCTTTAACAAGCCTTTGAAAAGAAATCCCTGTAAAGGAAGAGAAGTGGTCAGCCAACGCAGCAGCATAAGTTGGCTCTCACCGTACAAAATAGGACAGCAGTGATGCAGGGTGAGCAACCTATTCCATGCCATGTGTGCCCATTCCATTGTGCACATGAGAGTGTGCAATTTGACAGTAAAAACATTGTCATTTGAAGGTAAAACCATCAGTTTTCTGCCTCCTCACCTTTTGTGCTTATGAAAATAAAGAAAATAGATCAGCTAAATACTCTCAAGGCTTAAGATTCCTGTCTGTTAATTTTAATACATACCCACATGCACCATGACCTACAATGTCTTGAAAATCTAAGCAAAGTCTGTCTTGTTTACTATATTGTCATAAAACATTATGAAATCCAGAGCTGTGGGCTAGACTGGGAAGTCCAGAGAAAAACACCCCCCCACCAAGAAAAAAAGCTTCTGCTTTGCAAAGTTCATGCAAGAGCCAACTTAGAATAAGAGAGGGCAATCTGCTTTTCACAATCCTGAAGAAATAGGATGGGAGTGGCTGGGAAGAGGGCTTAGGAGAAATAGCCAATGGGGTTTACGAGATTCTGGGTGGCTCCCATTCTGATGGTGTTCAGGAAGTTATTAAAAACTAGCATCTTATTTGCATCTTTGGGCAAGTGGAATTTGAGCCCTTGCTGTATAGATTCTGTGTGGAGGAGTTATATATAGATTTCAGGTCACTTATTTTTTTGTAACTTTTATTTACCTTTACTTGTACATTGTGTGGTCTATACATTGTATTAAACATAAATAAAATTAGCCACTGTCTGGTTAGGAGAGTGGGGGACAATATTCTTTAAAATGTTATTCCTGCTGTAGAGAATGCTCCTTTCTGACAGTTTCCAAATTGACTAAAACTAAATTTGGGACACTTTCATGCTTTCTAATTATTTTGTTTAATTGGTCAAACATCTGTGACTAGGAAATGTAAATGTATCAACATGCTTAAAATTGCCACATCATTGTCCAGCAAGCTGTCTTCCCAGGGCAGTATGCTTAGCTCAATCAGTCTCCAAAAAATTCCTGAAGATTCCTACCTGGGGCTTTGAGTTCATCGTTGATAAAGTTAAGTAATTCCTGACAGATATTGCAGTACGGCACAGGCCAGGTGAGAAAATCACGATATATCCTCACAGCTCTCAAAAGCAGATCAGAATCCGAAGGAAAATGGGGGATCTAAGGAGAAAAGGTATTTTAAAGAGGTGCATCACTTGAGGACAAATAACACAAGGGCCCAGTGGAGATATCAAGTATGAGCTAATGCTACAGATTTACCTGCTTAACAGTATACATCCCTCCCCCCAAAAAAGCTCCAGGGGAAAAAAGAAAGGAAAACAAAATATTCATAACACAGTAGCACAGATTTTTGATGTGCATTCTCTCTCTCTCTTTCTCTCCCTCCTCCCTTCCTCCTGCATTTATTATTGCCATTGGTAGTTCCTCCTATAAGAAGGAAATCCCAGCCTTCTAATGGCTTATAAGAACTATCAATAAATGTCACTTAATAAAATGGTCAAGGGATGGCTGAAATAAGTGTCAAAAAGTTCTCAAGTTCTCAAACATAGATTGTTCAACCCATTTTTATTACAATAGCAATTACTTTTTAAAGTTAAAAATATCTTGTCTTAAACTCCTTCCTTTTTATTTTTTATTGAAGACTGATAGATTTGAAGAGGTAGAATCTATACAGTGAAGACCTTAGTCTTGTAGAGAACACCTGATCGTTGACTTCAACTGACCTCATCTTTCCACTGAAGCATATATTAAAATAAATTTCTGGCTAGCTGCTGCAGCTAAGGTTTCTCTGATTCCTGTGACTTCCTCAAGCAGAACCTCTAACTCTGATGATATTGTTTGACTAATTTCTTTCATTGTGCTTCAATAAATACAGGGTCTAGTGGTAGTTATTTACAGCACACCTTCATGATAGATTAGGCCCATAATCCCATCAATTTAGAAAAAAAATCTAAATGACAGCGAGTCATCATCACAAAGGCTTGACTACTAAGACCATGAATTGCAGGGTTTAAGCTCCAAACTTACAGACAGGACAGTTGCACTGAAGAGTAAGGCCAATGGCGTAAAAAGATTGTAGTCACAATTTTCTAGGACCTTCATAAAAAAGAAAAACAAGAAAGAATAAAAAATGAAAATATAATTGGTATACTACTTAAAAGACAATTCATTAAAAGCAATATTAATCTTACTTTGCATAGCTTTACACATTATACTAAAACATATTTCATAATACAATTTCTTGAATAATCAATGGTTTATATTATGCTAAACCACAAACCATTATCATTTTGGTTTACAGAACAGAAGAGTTGGGTTCCCATATTGTTCCAAAAACACACCTATGTGTTGTGGTGCAAAATGTGGACCAGGCCTGTGGGGTATTTGTTTCAGTGATAAAGTCACTCTGAATGGTGATTCTGAGCTCTGGCACAAAACTCAACATAATTTATCAGTACATCTTTTTAGATAGTCGTGCTAGCTGGAAAAAGAATGGCATTGTGACAGAGAAGAGGGGGGTCGACCTATAGTATTCTTCAAAGCACCTAACAGTTGGATAAGAAGCAACAGATGGTAACTGTTCAAAGAGCAATCCAACCTAGAATTAAGGAGAAATTGCCTATCAGTGAGAACAATGAATCAATGGAATTTCTTGCCTCCAGAAATTTTGGCTGTTCCATCACTGGAGATTTTCAAGGAGAGATTGGACACCCATGTGTCTGGAATGGTATGGTTGAGCAGAGGGTTGGACTAGAAGACCTTCAAGCTGCTTTCCAATTCTGTTATTTTGACATTGTATTAGATACTACAGGCAAGTGAAGTGATGCTTTTTGCAGAAGAAGCTTGTCTTAAGAAGACACATGGGAACCTGTGACCCTTCAGATGTTGTACAATGGTAACTCCATCTTCTATGCCCACAGACCATGATGGATTGGTCTGAGAGGAATCAGAATTAAGCCATACTTTGTTCCAAAGTTCGCAGAGCCTACTGTAAAGGTACTGCTAGAACAGTATGGTTTTATTTGTTTATATCTGTTCATCTTTCTTTAAAATTTCCAGTATTAAAAAAGGGTTCCAACCAAGACCAAAGTAGTAAAAATAGTACCCTAAATAGTACTTGAGAGACCGCCTGCTGCCAATCACTTCCAATAGACTGATTAGATCCCACAGATTAGGCCTCCTCCGAATTCCATCCGCTGGCCAATGCCGACTGGCGACCACCNATATGCATTTATATGCATTTATATGCATTTATATTTATGTAGAGTATATTGGAAGTGGTGACCCTCTGAGAACTGTATGCATGACATTTCATTTTAATGTATGCAGATTAGTGTACATTCTAAGCGACAATAAAGTTATTCTAAGTCTATATTGCTGAACTCACCCTCCCCAAATGGAAGCAAGCATGATTTGGAGAAGGGATCAGCAGTGACTTCTATCACATTCATGCTATCTTGCCACCAAACACAGAGACTATGCTCTTCTAATGCTCACTTATATCAGCTGGATTTGTGCTATAAAGAGACATGCTTTTAAAGTATTTATCAAAAGCTCATCTAGCCCAGCATGTTGTTCTCACCCACGCCAACCAGATGTCTCTGGAAAGCACAGGGAAAGGATATGAGCGTAGCAGCATATTTCCACTCACATCCTGGAGCAACAATTAACCGATGCTGATAAAGATCTAGCACAATTAGCGTCCATTCACATAGTGATATGGGTAAATCAGTCCAAACTTCTAAAGCAATCCAGGTGGACAACTATCTTGACATTGTTTTGAACATTCAACTAGGTATTACATAAAAAGGTGTTTCCTGACTCAGTTACACTGAATGGCCTCAGTTCCACCATTATGAGGAATAGGGGCAAATTTCCCTGTTCATTTTTGCTGTTCTGTGGATAGATTTATATAACTGTAACATGAGATACTGTAGCTACAATAATTTAGAATTCCCCCCCCCCAAATATCTTTCTTTTTAATAGCAGAATTACTTCATGTCCTTAATAATTTAGAAAGGAGTTAATTGAACCTTTTACTTTAAATATAACAGCCAAAAGTTTATACAGTGTTTTGAATGTAATTGCACCATAGAATTCCACAATATTGGTTGCTTTAGTTTTTATTCCTTTCGTACTCATTCCCATAATGAAACATCCTGGGTCAACACTGCCACTGAGCTATCTTGTACCAGCTCAACCTTTTCTGCTTAATCAATGCCGTCTCAAATATCAGGCTGCCATTCTTAGTTACACGACTCTTTCACCTCCACATTCATCAGTTTAAATTGGCTGGCAGTGAACGAGCTATTTCCATGTCTATTCCTATTGGGGATGATCACTTCACTGCCCTGCCCCATTTTTGTTGTTCTCATTTTAATCATCTTAGCAATGAAAAGTTATCTTATCAAGTGAAACATGCCCATCGTATGTCTCATCATTCTTTCCAGATAGTTTATGAATAAATTGAAAAGCAGCAGTCTTAATGACTCCACCCCCAGAAACCAATTCTATTTTCTGTCTTTAGCTACTTTCCATACGCCAATTTTTTTTTGAATCAAGTTACCATTTCAGAAGAGGAGTCATACCCACATAGTTTACTTAGGAATTTTTGCTAAGGAATTCTGCCAAAGCTCTAGGACTAGAGAGCCCAAGTAAATACAGATAGTCCTAGACTTATGACCACAATTGAGTTGTAATTACAATTACAACAATATTTCTGTTGCTAAGCGAGACATTTGTTGAGTGAACTTTGCCCCATTTTATGACCTTTCTTGCCACAGCTGTTAAGTGAATCATTGCTATTGTTAAGATACTAACACGGTTGTTAAGTGAATCACTGGCTTCCCCATTGGCTTTGCCTGTCGGAAGGTTGCAAAGGTGATCACATGACCCCAGAACATTGGAACCATCCTAAATATGAACCAGCTGCCAAGCATCCAAATTTTGATCATGTGGCCACTGTGATGCTGTAACGGCCGTAAGTGTGAAAAATGGTTGTGATTTTTTCAGTACCTTTATAACTTTGAATGGTTATTAAATGAACTTTTGTAAGTTGAGGACTACTTGAAGTGTTGATTATATCTCTCCAATTTGTTTGTTGACATTGTCCAAAAACGTATATATGCTGTTATAGAAGCCCTGCAAAAATATTGTTTCTGTATGCTTGCTAGTTTAATCTAAGAAGTTTTTTTTCAAAAAATACCAGCTGTAATTTTATTGATTCCCTTTTTAAAAGGAAACTATATATTATTCAATTCCCAGTTCTTTGGTACAGAAACCAATTTTAGTCACGTAGCATATATTTTTCCTAGATGAATCACAGGATTCATATTCAAATTCCTGAAGAACTATTGGATGAGTTCCATTTGCACCTGATATAAAGAAATAATTATTTAATGTTATGTATTGCACCGTGTAATAGACTATAAGCATCAGTTCCAACTATGCCCAGGGGGCTTACCATTGATCCAGAACTATGGGAATTAGGACTTCCTGAAGAAAGAAGAGGGTACGTCAGTGCAAATGAGGTAGGATTGCTCCTCTTCACTGGGACATAAAAAAATTGCAACCTACAGTACCGAGTTAAATAGGGACAGCTGCTTTCTTGAGATCTGTAAAAAAAAAAAAGAGAGAGAATAAGAATACATGAAGAAAGTGATATGCCGTGGCCATTTGCTTGCAAACAGAATGTGATTGATTGGTTCTATTTACAACATCCATCAAAAATAGGGAATCCATGGTAAAAATGAAGGACAACATTACAGACAATCCTAGCATATGCAGCATTACAACCAATGGCAAAAATGTATAACTCAAATAGCACTCTTTAAACCCAAAGGGCTGCCATACTTGGAATCAACTGAAGTTTTCAAATGGTCTTCAAAGGTCATTCCATACAAAGTACAAAGTATGGTATGCTGGTTTAACTGCTGTGGATAGGAAGGGACTACAGAGAGTGATCAATTCGGCACAAGAAACCATTGGTTGCCCTCTAACACCACTGGATGACATCCACCAGGTCTCGCTGCTTTAGCAGAGTAAGGAAGATAGAGATGATTCACACCCTGGTAGTGTCTCTTATTTATTTATTTGTTTGTTTGTTTGTTTGTTTATTTATTTATTTATTTATTTATTTATTTAATTTAATTGGTTAGTATGCCGCCCTCTCTCGAAAGACTCAGGGCGGCTTACAGATAAAAAGGGGAAGGGGGGGAACATACAAAAATAAAAAACAACATTAAAAATTCCACAACATTCATAACTTAGGATGGGGCTGGATAAATCAACAACCGCAGGCCTGCCGGAACAGCCAGGTCTTGGTAGCTTTGCAGAAGGCCGGAAGGGTAGTAAAGGTCCNAAGCCAGTGTCTCTCAACCTTGGCAACTTGAAGATGTCCGGACTTCAACTCCCAGAATTCCCCAGCCAGCGAATGCTGGCTGGGGAATTCTGAGAGTTGAAGTCCGGACATCTTCAAGTTGCCAAGGTTGAGAAACACTGCTCTAAGTGGTTTACAGAGTCAGCCTATTGCCCCCATTTTAGATCCTCATTTTACTGACCTCGGAAGGATGGAAGGCTGAGTCAACCTTGAGCCTGGTGAGATTTGAACTGCCAAATTGCAGTAAGCCAGCAGTCAGCAGAAGTAGCTTGCTGTATTGCATTTATTTCATATTTTTTTCCATACCATTGCACAGCAATTGGGTTTTTTAAAAAGAGAGTGAAAGAGGACTTTGAGTGCTTCATCCAAGGTTCCGGGGGCTTTTGTTTATTTTCTATGAGCCAAATGTGACTATTTATTAAACTCCACGGTCTTGTTCAGGTGAAAGGGAAACTTTCTTCTAGTGAATTCACAACTGTGATTTGATTTTGCTGTATGTACCCTTAACCAAACTCTATTTCTAAATTACAAAAACTGAAAATAATTGGGGCAAGGCTCTATTAAAGAACCAGGAAGTCACTGACAGGAAGAAAAGAATAATAAAAAAACAAGTACAGAAGATATCAAATGGATTCACTGGAACTCCTGTTACACTAATCTCTATTCAGTAACACTGAAGTAACCTTGTTTCAGAATCAAAGCAAGTCCCTTTTTCAATAGAAAGTTGAGACCTCTCTTGCTGACCTGCCCATTTCACAAAAACAGATATTCTCTGGAGAAAATTCTCTGGACAGTAGGTTCATATCAGGAGTTGTTGTTCAAAGCAGGATAGATTTTAAAAAAACACCACCTTTCTGAGTCCTACCTGACCCAACTCTGGACTTTAGCTGCCGTTTCCAGCACAGCAAAACAGAACTGACAGATTCAAACTAAAATCTACTGAGACCAGATGTCTCTCAATAAAGATGGAATCAACTCCAAGAAGGATGCAGCTAGGCAGTTAGATAATCTCATTAGATGCTACCCCACAAGATGATTTCCCTTTTGTAGAGAGTTCAACACATGCAGACAAGGTAATTGTATGAGCAAGAAGGTGGCTTATCATCAAACCTTATTTTCTTTCCCATCTCTCCCTTTCTTTTACCTCTTGAGTCTTCTGTAGGATTTTCTCCAGGAGAATGAGGTAGTTCCCTGCATCGCGATTAACTAGCTCCTGGAGGGTCCAGCAGTTCAGACAAAGCCCAGCTATTTGGAAGAGAGGAAAAATAATTAGAGAATATTCAATCATACCACAAAGTCAAGAGCATAAGTAGTCTTCACTAAAGAAGTCTGCTTGCCCACAAGATTTTTCAGATGGAGGTGTTGCACATACATTGACTGCATTCCAGAACATAGGATCAGATATTTTGCCCTGCATGCCATGTTTCCCTGAAAATAAGACAGGGTCTTATTTTCTTTTTACCCACAAAATATGGCTTGGGCCTTTTTATGAGGGGAGGGTTTATTGTTTTGGGGTTGCTGGGCAGCTGCTCTCTTGCAAGTGGGCTCCCAAAGAGCCAGACACAGCCTCATGGGCAAATGGCTGTGTTGTGCTGTCGCAGCAGCGCAACATAACAGCCATGAAGTGACCATGCAAACGAGCAGCCACCCGGCAAACCTCCTTTCCAGCTCGGCACAGCACCATTCACTGACCTAGGGGTATCATCAAGCCACATGAGCCAGCTGCCAGCAGAGCATACAACCATAGAGCGTATGCCCAGAGCGGCCACTGCCGGAAGACTCGGTTTGGAAGCTGCCGAAAAAGCCATGCTGGGATGGCAGTGGTGGCAGCGGCAGCAGTAGAGGTGCCCTGGCTCTGCAGGGAGAGCTGGGCCAGGGCATCATGAGGCTGGGAGGCACGAGAGTAGAACAGCCACTCACACAACCCCTCTCTCCAGCCATTCACTGGCATTTCAAAGGCACCAAGCCATGGGAGCCAGGTGGCAGCGAACAGGCACTCATGCCGCTTGGTGACACCCCTAGGTCAATGAATGGTGCTGTGCCCGGCTGGAAAGGGGGTTTGCCGGGTGGCTGCTCCTGAGTGTGGTCGCTTCATGGATGTTGTGTTGCGCTGCCGCGACAGTGCAGCACAACTGTTTGCCCCTGAGGCTGTGCTCTTTCGGATCCTGCTCGCAAGAGAACAGCCGCCTGGCAACCCCCCTCTTCAGCTGGGCACAGCGCTGCTCACCAACCTAGCAGTATCCTGAAGGCGCCAAGCAACGCGATCACCTTTGCCTTCCCCCCAGCTTGGCACCTTCAGGATACCTCTAGGTTGGTGAGTGGCGCTCTGCCTGGCCAGAGGTGGGAGGTTGTCCAGGGGCTTATTTTCAGGGGAGGGCTTATATTTTTGCCCACCAGAAAAATATGGCATGGCCTTATTATCCGGACATGTCGTATTTTCAGAGAATCATGGTAGTTGTGAGCTATTTATACTCATTAATACTATGCAATGCCCTTTTTAACCTGAGTGTGTATTCCATCTGTCACTCAGAGCAGCACAGCATGTGTACCAGAGGTGGTATTCAGCCAGTTCTGACAGGTTCTGAAGAACCGGTATTGGAAATTTTGAGTAGTTCGGAGAACCGGCAAATAAACTGGCCCTACCCCTGCTGCCTCCCCACTGATATTTTTTGGTTGCCCTGAACAGGAGAACAGATCTGTAAAGCTGGTTAGTGGGGTAGGATGGGAATGGGGATTTTGCAGTAACCTTCCGCTGTCGACAAATCCATACCCACAAAGCCATGCCCATAGAACCAGTAGTAAAAAACTTTGAATCACACCACTGACGTATACCAAATGAAGGTAGGATGGGCCAAATAAGGGATAGAAAAAGGCTATCCTGCCTCTTAAAATCATAGAGGGAATTTCTTTATATTTAGACTAATCCTTGGAGGAGGGACAAAATCAGTCCAGGTGGGCATCAGAGATTTAAGTTAAAACCTTCCTTCAGGTCTGATGCTCTGAGATTATCCACTGAATGACCAGTTTGATCTGATAACAAAGCAGAAGAACTGTATATGCTATTTTGAAATATGTAGAGTAACAGTAATTAATATTACAATGCAGACTAATTATTGATAACTTAAATGGCAAAGTGAAGATTCATACCATCAACATGAGTATCAGAAAAGCAACTATGATATACAACCACCAGGCTGGTCAATGTCACTTTCTTAAGTTATTTTTTAACTGGCTTTATATTTAATTCACAAGCCTCATCAACTCATAGAAAATAATTTAAGATGCTGCCCACTGGTTCACATAACTTCCGTATTGCTGCATTGGCTGGCAGCACCTTCTTAGGATTTAAAGTAAGAGTTTTTCCTACCCTAATAGGAGATGCCAGGGGGCAAAAACAGCCCTTTGTTTTCTGTAAATGTATTCAAAGTGTCAAGTAACACATAAGCAGCAAAATTTTACAGTTGGGTGATAGTGGGTGGCAGAATTCATGTTGCTGCAAGCAGATACAGTGGGTGAGATACTTTTTCAGAATGCAGCCTGTTCTTCTTAGAATTATATTGTCCCCGGAAATGCTAAATCCTTAACTTGGCATCTGTGGCTAGCATTTCCTCTCTCAATTCTTTGTCATATAAGAACAGCTCAAACATTGCATCCAGCAACTGTTGAAAATATCACTGGGAGATGTAAATATCAAGATTCCACCCATGATGAAGACATAGGCTGACCAATATTAAAGCAGGCAATCATCATGAGAAATTGCCATAAATATGCATTGAAGCCCCTACCCTTCTATAGTCAATATTTTAGACTGATGGCTGCCAAGATATAAAATGCAAGATGGTACATTATGGAAATAACTGACAATCACCTGTAAAATGACATTAGACAATTACATGCGTGTACTAAAATGGCAAAAGCCTATCTAATTTAGCCTGTTGAAGATACTGGCATGCATTTCTTTAAACTGTCTAGCATATTCTTTCTCTCTCTCTCGCCCCACACGTTTTTCCCAATGCTAGGCAATTCCCTTCATTTGCAGATCCCTTCAAAAAACAAAAGTCTGTTCTGGGGAAATCTTAGAAGGTTTCAGATGGCCAAAAGGAAGCAACAGGCTGGGGGTTCTGTCTAATTCAGGGGTTGTCAAACTCAAGGCCCCTAGGCCAGATCTGGCCCATGGGGTGCTTAGATCTGGCCAACGGGGCCACCTGGAAACAGAAAAGGACTGGCCCATGATGCCTCTGTCAGTGAAAATGGAGCTGGGGAGATGCTCACATGCGGCCCTCCTCAGCTTTGTTTTCGCTGGCAGAGGGTTGCAGGAGGCTGTCCCAGCCGAAAATGGAGCTTGGGAGCCCGTTTTCTCTGGCAGAGTGCTCGGGCCACCACAGGCACCCCTGACACAATTGACTTCAAGCTGGCCATCCACACCCTGGTCATGTTCACCCCAGTCCCCAATGTCAAACACAGTCCTGATGCGGCCCTCAATGAAATTGAGTTTGACACCCTTGGTCAAATGAGTGACACAAATATCCGAGTGGATACAATAGATGCAGCTTCTCTTTCTATTCTGCTATCACACTCGGACTGCTTGCCATTGGAAAATTCTACAAACAAAAGGCTGTGCACATATCTTGCAAAACATGCACAGGCTTTTGCATTCAGCATACAAATGCAGAAACATTCAGAATTGCTTGGTGCTGCCAGACATGGGCAGCCAGTGTAAATTATTAGGGTGGCTAGGAAGCCTCAGGCAACAGCTTGAATGCACAAACATCTAGGAGTCTCTCTTTCCCACAAGCCCTTTTCTCTGCTCATCCCCTGCCCATATAGTCTTTCTTTCCCCTTTCTATTAGTTGCAAATGGACCTGTAAAGCCTGTTTTAACAACTCCAATCCTACCTGCTTCTCATTATGTCTGCATCAGTGATGAAGACATGATGAACAAATCAGAGAAGTTAAAGCCTCATTTAGCTTAGTACACCTATTTATTTTTAAAATCAAACAAGCAGGCCCCACATCTTCCAGTGGCCCCTCCTCAACAGCATTAGGTATACTTGCACCCACAAAGTCCTGTTTCCAAAAAAAAAAGCATAGTTTTGGGCAGAAAAGAAATTGCTTACTCCTAAATCTATTTGGATGAGACTTGGAAGCATTTGCATTCAATAAATATAGGAAACACAAGCAGCAGGGAAGAAAGGAACCTGCCAGAGTGAGGAATCTTCTCCTCTTTCTCTCAAAGGGCATTGAGCTCAGAAAATGTTGACTGGAATTCAGACTCTGCTATTCATTAACCCGCATTGAAAAATGGCAGTGCCTCGGGAAACGGTGCTGATTTCCCTCTTCTACAGCTCTGGAAATTGAAGTGAGGGTTCACTGACTAACAGAACAATATTAGACCCTTCTTTGTAATGGAAGGCACTGCAGCAGGAAAGATGGAAGGATAGACAACCCTGCTGAACATTGCCCAGCATTGCCTTCCAGTATTAGTGTGTCATACAGGTGAGAAGGATTTGCAAATGCCCAGGTTTTGGATTAAACTAGGGTTGGTGCATCTAGCCCTCAAGTGGAAGTTTCTATCCTTGCTCTTAACTTCTCTTAGTGATGAGAGTAAGCAAAAAAAAACTGTCTAGACAAATGTTGGCAAACCTTTTTGGCACTGAGTACCAAAACAGGAGCACATGTGCAGGGGGGGGAGCATCAGAAACTGGAAGAGAAGCTCCACAGCATGCATGTGTGGGAGTGCCAGAAACTGGAAGAGCAGTTCCCCGTTGCACATATGCGTGCCAGGAGGTTGAGCTTTTGGTTTCTGGTGTGTGCATGTGCGCAGGTCACCTGGTCTTCCAGTTTCTGGCACATAAGTATGCACAAAGACCAACTGGCTGGCGCACTGGAACCCGGAAGAGCAATTGGCGATGGCTGGTGTGCCCGGAGAGATGGCTCTGCATGCCACTTCTGGCACACATGCCATAGGTTTAGAGGATGAAGGACAGGGAATTGAAGATGAAAGCTAGAAGTGTTGCTATTTCTAGACACTTTCTATATTATTAGTCAAAGGAAAAAAATGGAACAGAATGTTACACAAGTCTATTCAACCACTATATACTGTATACGCTCAATAAATAATCTCAATTCCATTCATATCAAATACAAAATTTGAAGCTATGAAATTGGAATTTCAATTTGGTAGTAGTGTCACAAAGTTGTCGTCTTCTTTCTTCTGAAGCAACTACAAACATTCCCACCACTAAAGTCCCACCTGTAAACAGCATTCCCCTTGCTATTCTGACCTTGTTTGACTCCCAAGGATGTTTTGCCTGGTTTAACCTTTGGAACTAGTCTTTGTGGTGACCTTCCTGCTATTGAAACTTGCAGCATCACATGGCCAGAGCTCAACACAAAAATACACCTGTGATACTAGAGCAAAGTACCCAAGCACACATTCAATGTTTACCATATTCCCCCAGCTCTCAAGGATACATTTTTACTACGTAGGGGGTTATTAGTTAGGTTCTTAAGAACTTTAACCTAGAATAGAAATTGAAGAATTGTGATAAAGAATGCCAGTAATAGTAATTTGTTATTTAGAATAAAATGTACATAGACCAGTATCATAGGAGCTACACCCTTTTTTCAAATAGTTATGTACAGTTCAGAGCCCAATGGCCCCATGCATCCTGTAGAATCTATCCTCCAAATGGAAAAGGGGAAGGGAAGGGGAGACAAATGAATTCATACCTAAATAAGTAATAAAACTCACTATACATTTTTTTTTGTTTTAGAGTACAAGAATTTAAATTTTTTTCCCAAGCCAGCTTTTGGTACATTACCCGCCTCCAAAAAATCAGCTATGACTCTTAACTCAACAAAACCTGTATACTAGTAGTTTTAGTACTTCTTTACTAGTACTATATTCTACTAGTAATATCTTCTACCAGCAGTGCTTCTTTACTAGTAGTAAGTAAAAGTTTTTCACTTACCTGTCCATGTGCTTGCAGAAAATGTGCTTTTGCTAAGGCCATGGAGGCATCTCTCCAATGCATGGTGGATCCTGTCCTCTGTACACGTTGTGTGCTGCATTTTATTTCATCTCCTGAACAAGATAAATTAATTAATTCAAACCTAATTAGAGTAATCCAATACCAATTTTTAGCTTAATCCACCTCTGACTTTTAGGTTTCTTGGTTAATTTGTCTTTACATTCTGCCTTTGAGATGCACACAACTCCCTAGCCAGAGAACTAGCATCTCCACAAACTCTGCTGCCAAGATAAACATTTTCCCCAAATTTGACTGCTGAATTGTCATATTGCCTTTGTTACTGGGCAATGTAGAACAGCAGTGGTAAATGGGACAGGATAAATGGGAGTGATTCCAATGCTGAACCACAACAGGAAAGCTTTCTCTCTCATTTCTTTCCTGTACAATTTTTGGTTGGAATCATTTGCAAAAGCAAGAGGCTGCATGAAAGCCACAACTGTTGGCTTCCTATAAACTGGAAATGTGCTTAAGATGAAAGCGGGAGGGGAAGTATGGAGCACAATCAAGCTACAACCAGCTAGGCCCTGACAATTTTGCCACACATTCAATAAAATTATTTTTTGCTAGGGATTCATACACGAAGGCTCTAAAACTGAGTTTCTTCTTCCTAACTCAAAACCTTGAGTATACCTTGAGTATAACTCCAGGAGCTTCACTTAAAGTTACTATGTACTTTTTTCTCAGATGTAGCCTCAATTGTAACTCTTAAAGCTCCATCCTATATGTCTAAACCTATTGTCTGAGTTCACATATTATTATAAATCACAGTCTAGGTTAACCTGCCGTACATAGTAAGCCTGAATGGTTAGTTTATGTTTCAGTGAATAATAATTTCCTTCCTTCCTTCCTTCCTTCCTTCCTTCCTTCCTTCCTTCCTTCCTTCCTTCCTTCCTTCCTTCCTTCCTTCCTTCCTTCCTAGTGTGTCTTTAAATATCTGCTGAAAAAGCATTTGGTTCTGGATCAGAGGTGGCATTCAGCAGGTTCTGACCAGCGCTGGAGAACCAGTAGCAGAAATTTTGAGTGGTTCGGAGAACCGGTAATTGCCACGTCTGACTGGCCCCGCCCCCCATCTATTCTCTGCCTCTCGAGTCCCAGCTGATTGGGAGGGAATGGGGATTTTGCAGTATCCTTCCCCTGCCATGCCCACTAAGCTATGCCATGCCTACTAAGCCACGGCCACAGAACCGGTAGTAAAAAAAATTGAATCCCACCACTATTATGGACAACATTGCCACTTTCAAAAAGCTCATCTCTAGAAAAAGGAAAGTGTACCAAAAGTGCAGGATTAAATGTGCTTTGAAGAATAGAAGAATTTTTTTTTTTAAAAAAAGAAGGAACTCCTCTCCAAATCACTATGTCTTAATTACATTTTGGAACAAATGTCATAAGGGAAATGATGACTGGACAAAGGACATGATTCATATCCTCAACATGGCCAGAAATAGTATTTTCTAATGTCAGCTTCTTACACAAAGGTCCATTAGCGGAAGAGAGATGATTCCTCAACTGGCCTGAGCAAACAGAAGTCTACCCAGCCTCAAATTCACTTTTTTTATCTCAAGTCCTAATTGCGTAATCAAGAACTGTCAACAGCAACAGAAAATGAAAAAAAATATTCCCGTAACTTAAAAAGCCACAGGGTACAGATTTGACTTATGTCATAGTTTCCTCACATGATAATGAAGAACATGTTCTGACTTCATGCCAACTTAATGCAGATCGTCTAAGGCTGCCAGCTGCACAGTTTCCCTGTACATTTAACCTCTAAGATCTGCATGAAATCTCTGGACCCTCATGATTATTGGACTGGGCTGAGATGTCATGTTGACTAAGTATGAAAAACCTTTAAGGCCACTAGTTCAAGGAAAAGACAATTTGACAAATGATCAAAAGTCTGTAGGCAAATTCTTTCATAGCTTTCAGCAATGCCATTAACTTTCCCACTAGATTTTATCCTACCTTTCCCCATTTGTCTTTTGGAAGATGCCTCTCTAGACAATTGCACTAACAGTAAAGGTAGTGCAATTTGTTAGTTACACAAAAGTAACCAATATTCATTGTTCCACATCGTTACTTTTCAAAAACTGCTGCATCAGTCCAGATATCACCATGTAAATATTTATAGTCACTCAGTCCATATTATGACATCATGATTCAAATATTTTCGCAGTTGTTTAGGAATCTTCAGCTGCCTCAGAAAGCCAATGCTTTCAGTATTTGAGTCTATTGAATCTGAGCATGAGCTTCGAACTAACCCCCAATGAGCCATTTGCAAACTGGACTCTGAACTTATTCAGGGCTTGGTGAAACTTCAAATTCTAAGTAACGTAGCCAGAAACCTACCTTTGTACTTCAGAAAAGAAAGCAAAGCAAACACCTTTCTCAAAAGATCCAATTCCAGAAGAGTACCAGGTGTGACCTTTTAAAGAGCTCCCTCATGACTTATTTTCAATGATTTCAAACATTGTGCAATTTGTGTATCTGTTTTTCTACACACTAGAACTCTGGCCTGCCTGATTTTTACAACTTCTAGTTTATGATTGGGCTTGGGTTTGACCTTTTGCCCGAAGTTTTACTTCTGTATTCTGTTGACTTGACCTATCAGTAATTCACAGATAAAACATACCATTTTGGGACGGGGGGGGGGACGGGACAGTTGTCACAATGAGATGTACAAATTCTCTGATTGACAATCAAATTACATGGCTTTTATACTTCAGCAATCCATCCTTCTAGAACTCGGTTGAAGGATTGAGCTCTATTAATTCCTTGAAACATCACTGAGTGTTTCTTCAGTTCTATTGCCAAGTCACTTTGGAATTTGGTGGCAATAGTTTTCCCAGCCAGTTTTTCCTTGCAACTCACAGGGAGGATCAAATGTTTAACAGTTGTATGATATTAACTGTTGTTTGTTGCTAAACTAGAAACAAGGGACACCCCTGATAGCAAATTGTGTTTTTTCCCCAGCCAAATTATTACTGGCTGCTTTAGCAACTTGCCTTCTGTTCTGCTAATGCTCTTCATTCTAGGGTAGAATAAAATGATTTAATTGGAAATCAAGAGCCTGACCTAATGTTCAAAATGTGAATTGAGTAAAAAATCAGGATATTTAGAATAGAACAGAATAGAACAACCATAGGGATAGACAACACCCCAGAAGACAGGCACAAGATTCAGATGGATCTCAATAGAACACTGGGCCCTATCTAACAAAATGAAATTCAATGTAGAAAAAGTAAGGTTTTACACTTAGGGAAGAACAACCAAATGTACAGATACAGATTAGGTTAAACTTGGCTCAACAGCAGTAGCTTTAAGCAGTAGCTCCAAGAAGAGAGATCTTGGAGTCCTAGTGGACAATCACTTAAGTGTGAGTCAGTAGTGTGGACTGCATTAAAAGAAGGGTAGAATCAAGATAACAAGAAGTGATACTACCATTTTATAATACCTTGGTAAAACCACACTTGGAATACTGCATCCAATTTTGGTCACCATAATATAAAAAGATGTTGAGATGCTGGTAAAAAAACATAGAAGAGCAAAAGAGATGATTAGGGGGCTAGAGGCTAAAACATATGAAGAATGTTTGCAGGAATTGGGTATGTCTAGTCTAGTGAAAAGAAGGACTAGAAGTGACATGATAGCAGTGTTCCAATATTTGAGGGGCTGCTACACAGAAGAAGGGGCCAACCTATTTTCCAAAGCACCAGAAGACAAGACAGGAAGCAATGGATGGAAACTGAACAAAGAGAGAAGCAATCTAAAACTAAGGAGAAATTTCCTGACAGTAAGAACAATCAACCAGTGGAACAGCTTGCATTCAGAATGGAGGCTTTTAAGAAGAGACTGGACAGTCATTTGTCTAAAATGGTGTAGGGTGTCCCAGTGGTGAAATTCATTTTTTTTTTTACTACCAGTTCTGTGGGTGTGGCTTGGTAGGCATGACAGGGGAAGGATACTGCAAAATCTCCATTCCCATCCCACTCTGGGGCCAGTTAGAGGTGGTATTTGCTGGTTCTCCGAACTATTCAAAATTTCTGCTACTGTTTCTCCACAGCCGGTCAGAACCTGTTGAATTTCACACCTCTGGGTGTCCTGCTTGAGCAGAGAGTTGGACTAGATGACCTTCAACGTCCTTTCTAATTCTGTTATTCTACATGATCAGAAAAGAACAACAGAACAGAGCAGAATACTGTATTTGGCCAAGTGTGATTATACACACAAGGAATTTGTTTCTGATACAGAAGCACTTAGTGTACTTACAAAAACAACAAATGATAAATAATAATTTGACTGTGTGATGAACTATAATAATAATAATAAAACAAGTGAAGCACCACTTGAACACCATTGACAAATTCACCATTAGTCAGTTACAAAAGACAGCTTTATGTGGAACAGTCTACACCCTGCCACAATATCTGTAACACCATCAAACATCGACATCTGCCTCTCCCAGGTCCTTGGAAAGGATTCAATAGGGAGATAAAAATGCCAAATCCATCTGACTGAACATCTGAACATACTAAAGTTTGCAACCAGTAGAAGGATAAAATTGGTAATAAAAGGATAAATAATACTAAGCCACACTCTATTGGTTAATATGCTATATATGCATATTAGACAGAATCTAGCAGTCATCATATGTTGTCAACTATGAGAATTAGGTGTTCAGCAGAGTGATGGCACATGGAAAAAACTGTCCCTGTGTCTAGTTGTCTTGGCATACAATACCCTATAATGCCATTCTGAGGGAAGGAAGTGAGACAGTGTCCAGGATATGAGGGATCTGCAGACAATCTCTCCTAGTTATGGTCTTCTGGGTATCCAGTGCACCATGAGCATAATCTTGAGTATTGCAGAATAGGTGCCACTGTCATCTATACAAATTCCCTTTCCTCTCAGTCTTCCTGTTCAGCTTAGTTCCAATCTAGAGCTTTTAATGTCAAAAACTGAGGAAATTGGGTTTTTTTCTGGTAAATCTCACCCCCAGAGTATATCAGTATTCCTTCTTGTGCTGAGATTGTCCTAGGGGACTTCAAGATATCCC